TTGCTGTTAGTGCCAAGCTAGAGCGATGGATCGCAGGTCTGTGAATATGTCCAGCAGATTCTGATTCTGCTGGACCTGGCTGTCTGTGGATACGGCCAGGCAATTGTATACCTGAGGCAACATAGGGTCCTAACAGTGTTGTTGCGGTCCTTTTTCCTGTTGTGCTAATTTGCCCAGTGCCCTGGCAATCCTGCCTGCTTCTCTTGTGTCTGCTTGTTTGTAGTCCCTGACTATGAATCCACGGGGTCCTCTCCTGAGAGTAAGCAGGTAACCTGGTTTCCAGAGACCTCTATGTGCAGGTACGTAGTTCCTCGAAAGTGGTGTCACCGGTAGACAGGGTGGTGAAGAAATTAATGGCATGCTTGTCTTCATTTGTCATAGCATTGAGTATAGGAGTTGGAAACATCATGTTGCAGCTAAACAAAATATCGGTGAGGCCATATTTTGAGTACTGTTTACAATTCTGTTCACCCTGCTTTAGGAAGGGCATTACTAAACTGAACACAGTGCAAATAAGATTTGCCAGGAAGTTTCTAGGGCTGCAGGGTTTGAATTAGAAGGAGAGGCTGGATAGGCTGGAGTGTAAGAGGCTGAGTGGTGATCTCTTTGAGGTTTATAAAATCATGAGAGGCATTAATAAAGGTGAATAGCCAGAGTCGCCTCCCCAGAGTAGGGGAGTCCAAAGCTAGAGGTCATAGGTTTAAGGTGAGAGAGGAAAGATTGAAAAGGGACTTGAGGGACAATGTTTTTACATGGAGGCTGGTGCATATCTGGAACAAGCTTCCAGAGGAAGTGATTGAGGCATTTGAAAGACTTTTGAACAGGTACATGAATAAGAAAGGCTTAGAGGGATATGGGCCAAATGTGGGCAAATGGGACTAGTTCAGTGTGGGAAACTTGGTTGGCATGGATGACATGGGCTGAAGGGCCTGTTTCTGTGCCATATGACTCTATGACTCTGTGACCTGGGCATTTCTACTTTGACCAGCTGCAGAGAAGTGGCAGTGAAGGTCTGACTAGCATATGCTCCCGGCTCGAGTCTAGACGATGTGTCCACCCAGCCGTCAGTATCCGAGCTGAAGGAGGGTGCAGGAGGCAGCCTTGCCAGTGCTTCCTCTGAGGGATCTGTGGCTTCAGACTGAGAGGTGGAGGAGAAGATGCGTCTGAGCGCTGTCAACGTCACCATAGACATCCTGCTCGTACCTGCAAGGCACATGAAGAGAGAATGTTGTGGCAGGTGAAAACAACATTGACGGTGAGGTTAATGTGAGAGTTGGTCCAAAATGAATATTGCTTCTTACTCAGTTGGGGGGACATGGATTTTTCAGCCAGAATAGTCCCAGTGCCAGATACACTCTTAATAGGGAGGAAGGAGATGGATGTCAGGCATCCTGCCACCATCCTGGCTCCTTCTCTTTTTTGAGCCATTTTCTCCTGGAATGAGAGAAAGGGAAGGATTGAATGAGCTGAAAGGGGGTGGTACAGCTGTTAGTGCTGGTGTAGGTGGTGGGGGGAAAGACGATAAGTGAATGAATAGACAGCACAGAAGCCACACAGGATCCGCAGTGTCGGGGGTGGGTGATGGGTGGGGGTAGCCGGGCTGGTTGAGAGAAGATGTTAAACACAGTCCTGAGAGTTATAGAATGTGAGCCTTAGTGATTGGTGGGTGCAAATGGAGAGATAATGTGAGTGTGCAGGAGACAAATGGTGGCACTCACCCTGGTAGGGTGGGAATGATAATTGACCTTCTTACGACACCACTGGACATTAGACAGTGCTGTGGGGACACCATATTGACCTGGTCGGCAATCTCAGACCAGGCTGGTACAGACTCAGGAAGATACAGGTGGTATCCTCTGTCCCTCTTTGGGGAACAGGGTGACCCTTCCACTGCACCACTCCGGACCACAACATCACTGTCTGTGCAGCCAGGTACCGACTTTCCTTTCACATCCCCGGAAAGATCAAGGTGCCTCTGACTCTGGAATGCACACAAAGATAACTGCAATGGCAGGATATCAAGCCAGTGGCAAGCAGTCCCAGCCACGGCAAGTTTCGGCCTAGCATCAGGAAAGGGGACACCATTGGGATAGGGTAGGTAGTCAAGGAAGAGGACAGGACACGAGAAAGTTTCTCTATGAAACTCAACTAAAATGACATTTTTCCAAAATATCGTAAGATTCAGCTCTGAGTGTAGGAAGCTGAGGATGGAGATTTCGGAATGGAAGTGGAGCAGGGAATTAAAATGATGGCTATCAGAAGCTCAAGGTCACATTGTTGCCTGAGTGGTGGGGTTCAGAAAACTAGCAACTAATTGGGGTGCAGGAGATCACACTATGAGAAGCAGAAGCAGTATAATAAATGGAAAAAGTACAAATAAATTGCTGTTTCACTTAAAAGAGCATGGGCTCTCAGATATTAAGAAGGGAGAAGGTAAAAGTCAATAGATGCTGTACCTACTCCATATTGTTTATGTACACAACTCTGAGAATTTGTGCAAAAACAGAAGTTGCTGGAAAAGCCCAGCAGGTCTGGCAGCATTTGTGAAGGAAAAAACAGAGTTAACGTTTCGGGTCTGGTGACCCTTCCTCCAAGAATTTGTGCACAGTTTTCAGACTCAAAGGGTCATCATGGATAGTTAAAGGAGAATAGAACCTCCTGAGACCAGCAAATGTAGAAATCAGTTCCAAACAGCCACAGTACCCTAATCATTGAATATTGAGGATGAACTAACAACTATTACAAAATTGCAGAGAGGCATCTCAAACCTGGAATGATGTTGCATCACATTAGTCAAGTGCCAGAGGTGTCAAGTGCCAAATCTGTTTCACCTTGCTTTAACTTAGGTTTTGGGCATTTGGCTTAGAACAAAGATTCCAAAGTTTCTACTGATGTTGCTTCAGGACCGCTTACACCAGACCACAGTGATCCCACAACATTGCACAGAATCACAGACACCCGTGCAATGTTCTCACCATGCACCTTATGACACGGTGACATGATTCAAATGCCTGACAGCCTTTGTCTACACATTGCTGCATCGCAGTCCTTTGTCTATCTGACCAGGGGCAGTTGCTGGAAATCCGAAAGTCTAAGACAGGGAAGTATGGTGATGCCTAGGTAAATGTAGAAGGTGAGAGGTTCATGTTCACAGAATCTGCAACTTGAACCACACACGAGATTGTGGACTGAGCAATGGGGTATGTTAAGGTGGATTAGGAAGGTGCTCCTACCATGTCAACCTCAACTCCATGTCAGAGTCACACCAATGACTGATAACTGCAGTTGCACCAACATTAATCACTGTAGGCTCATTGTCTTTGTGAGAATCAACAGCCCATGTTTGGTTGAATTCACCATGAGGGATGTTTCTCAACTGCAGAAATTACTTTAGAGCGGGTTATGAAATTATAGCTTCAAAATGCACGTCACACGTTGCAAAATATGTTCCGTAAAAATAACTAAAGACAATTAGTGTTTCAGGAACCAGGTATTTTAATGAATGGTAATGTTCCCAGGTGATTAGCAAGTGCAGAAATTAGTCTAATTTAATCATTGCTCAATAATCTATTTTGTTTATATGCTTAGATCTATATAAGCTCTGAGTGCAGGGAGTAGCGCATCAGAGAGGTGAACAAAGGAAGCACATTCTCCACTCTCATACGCAGACAGAATGAAAGCCTTTATCTTCATCCTTGTTACAGTCCAGATTGTCTACTCTTCTGGTAAGCACTGATGTTTTGTTGTATATACCTCCAAAATTATTTTAAATTAGCATTCCAAATTTTTACAATTCTACTAACAATTGTTCATCCCTCAACATAGTGCCAGTCTCTATCCTGGCAGAGATGATTGGCCTTGAGAATGATTCAAAGGAAGGGCAAGTGATTGATATCTCTCCCACAGCTATCAGGCCAGATGAAGTGAACTGAAAACTTGTTCTTGAGAAAAGTGTCAAATTGAAGAAGATAGGATGGCAACCTACAAAAATTATTAGGCTCGTCTCCAAAGGCTAGACTATCTGAGCTAAATAGATGAGGGATGACATAGGGAAATTATATGAAGTTTTGTCACAAGGCATGGAAGGAGCCAGGTTCGTATTCAGAGTTATCATTTATTTCAGAGATCGAGCTTGAGAAATTATTAAAATGCAGCGAGTATGCAGATTCAAAAACAGAACTGTATTAAATCCTCAAGTGCCTGCTTTTGGGTAAGTCCCGGTGATGCGAGAGGACAACTGGCACAAAAACATTCTGGCAGGTCCATGGCAGCTGCTCTTGCCTGGAAAAGTGAAAAATGGGTCAGAAAATCTTCACAATGCAGCAACATTAGACGTTAACCAGCAAATTGTCAAGTTTGGGGAGCTCTGACGTTGATTGAAAATGTGGTTAAAAGGTCCTGATAGTTCACTGCTTTGCTCCTTCATTCAGGACAGTCACTTGATCAGACAGTAGACGATGCAATTGATCAGCTGAATGAAGACTCGATTATCAACAATCTTGTTGCTGTGGTCGAACAGGTCAATGTAAAGGTGAGTCACATTAAACATTGTTATATTCTACATTCCAAT